GAGTCTGGATAGTGACATTGCAATACCTGGAGACAGCAGAATAGATGAGAAAGAACTGGAGAAAATCATAAATAGAAGTAGACGACTACGGCAAAAGAAAGCAAAGAGTACCAATAGTTATAGGCACCTTAAGTGTAATCCCAAAATGTCTGGAGCACCACTTGAACACCATTGGCATTGACAAAATCACCATCAGTCAATTGCAAAAGTCAGCTTTACTTGGAACAGCTTATACCCTTTAACAGTACCTTTAACACCATCAAACAACAACATCTGCCTATACCAGGACCTTGGGAAGGACTCGATAGGTGGATAAAAATGCCAAATCCAGTCTAAATATCTGGCTGACTGTGCAACCAACCATAATAATAATAATACTGTCAGTCTAAACATCTGGCTGGCTGTGCAACCAACCATAATAATACTGTAATAATGGAAAATGCTAGAGTTTGTCTAGAGTGCCTATGTCCTTTTTTTCCTATTGTCTCACAGTCAAGTTGCATGCCACCTTGGACTATCTGTGCTGAAATGACTGCATGAGAATACTTGAATTAAACAGTGTATACCTTGATCAAATTAAAATATATCTGAAACAGCACACATATTATCTGAATTTGAGGGAAGTAACAAAATTGGAGAAGAATCTGGAAGCAAATCCTAGTCACCTATATGCATAACACCAGAGTTTGTTTGTGTGTACTGTATTTTATACCACTCTGCCTCTCCCAAAAAGGAATACAACTATATGCTATAGTTTTTAACCAGATTTTTCACTGATGTGCAAATGTTTTTCTTTAATCATAGAGTGCGAAAATGAATATCAGGGTTTCTGACTGAATTCTTGTTTCTAATTTGCATACTACATTGGGATCCCCTTAATTTACTTTACAAGGATCTAGCACAGTGAAGTTCTGTAATGGGACTGTGTTACAACATATATCATTGTAGTCAGAGAAGAACTACTTTAAACTAATCTTTCTTATAGCAGCTATCTCTGTAATCCAGACTGCTGGCAAAAAGAATTGCCATTTTTCATGCTGTTAATTTCTTGTGTGACAAGTGGGTTCATCATAACTTTCATCTGTACTCCTGTTACCCCTTTAATGTCATGAAGTAGAAGAAGATAAAAGTGTGAGCCAGCCTTTATACAAGTTAGATAAGGAAGTTAATAGTTGAGCAGAAAATGCATAGAACATAGTGGAAAACATCTTTAGTGTCCAGCATTCATAAAATAAATGATTCCCCTAAATCAGCAACTGTTTGGATAGCATGAATCAGTCATAAGTATAAAAATACTTCACATTTTTGTATTGCTGGTGTGAAAGTATTCTAGCCTCAGGCAGAACATTTAGTGTATAAAGGATTGTCCAAAATTATAAACTCTTGTGAACCTTGTTTTAGGTTTTCCCTAAATTGTTTCTTATTATTAATATAGTTCAAAAAGTATCAAACTATGAATGGTGATAATGAAATATTTTGTTGTTTTTGCTATGCATTGAGTTCAAAGAACAATTGAAAATTATTCTTGCTGGGACTCTTTTTTTCCCCTTAGTATCATATAATAAAGAATGGCAGGCTGTGTGAATGATAAGAGATAAAGGTTTAATTGTTTTGGCTTTTGAAATTCTTGTAGCCATGTATCCCATGAAAAGTACAAGGAACCTTTACTTTTTCTGCAAACATTATTCCAGTGTCTGCAGTGTTACATTACCAGGAGAAATTGAAATGACCCCATAAAAATATGCCTGTACTTATATACAGTTTGTCTATGCTCATACAGTTTTGATCTGTATTATTGTCAGGCCAGGCATTCATATTGCTCAGTAGGAAGTAAAGCCAGACTCCTGTTGGAGACAGAGTGGAAAAGAAGAACAGAGAAAGGAATGAAGAAATGTGCACATCGCAACTATGAGAGGGCACAATATTTTTGCCACTGCATTTGAATTAGAAAACTGGTATATGTGAGCCCTGCATATGGAGACTGAAATCCAAATCCTGCAAAGTTAATCTGAACCAAGGATCACTTCTTTACATATTTACGGCGCCTTTTCTCAGTTCTTTAATATCTGCTGTTCCTCTTATTATGTATAAAAACGCTTCTCCCTTATTACACCAAGAGTCACTTTGGGTGAGACGGGCAGCTATATAAATACGATGGATGGATGGATGGATGGATGGATGGATGGATGGATGGATGGATGGATGGATGGATGGAGGAATGATTCGAATTAACCTCTTTGATCCAGATCAGCCAGGTAACTGCATTTAGAAACTAAACACTAAAATAATAATAACTAAAATAACAATATTTCATATTCAAACATGTCCTTAAATTCTAGAAGGTATGGGGCCATAGCTCTGTGACAGAGTCTATACTTAAGCATACAAAGAGTTGCAAGCTCCAGTTACCTGGGGCTCACTACCAATCAGTTTCATTCACAGGATTAGCCAGTGGTTTGACTCAGTATCAGGCAGCTTCTGCGATTTTAGTGTTATTGATAACTGAACACTAACAATTCATTATCACAGCTAATACATTCAAGGTCTTGTAGTATTTTGTGGAATCATAGAAAATTGTGGTAAATTATTCTATCATGTACAAGCCACTTCCTGATTCTAATTATTTTATTTTATTTTATTATTAGTGAGCAGTTTTAGTATTAAGAACCTAAAGGCAAACAAGCTGCAGAGAATGGGATGTATTTCTTAGAAATGAAAACGTAAAGTTGGTGTCACCCTTAGAAATCAAATTAAGTAGATAACATATTTCTTGAGACCTAAACATTTCATGGCATTGCCACTGATTGTAAGCTTCCTCAGCAAACAAAGTTTGTGTCAAAATGACATCCTATAATCTGAAACAAGTATGTTAAATTGATTTTTTTTCCTATTTATGACATAATGATACCTGTTTTGTCACTTGTGTCCCCATAATGAATGCCAGCATCCCTGACTGCTTTGATCCACATTAATCAAGCTCCAAGCTAAGAACAAGCAACCTTTACTTTTTCATGCATTGCCAGACAGCTAAAGGATGGTCTAATCTAATGTAATGAATGATATCAGAGATACAATTTAATGACCTTAAAAGGAGCTGAGCTAGGTCTTTTACAAAACATTTAGGTATCTAACTATGCTTAGATTTCATGCTACAAATGGAGCAGCAAGACAAGTTTTAAGATACTGTACATATATTGATAGACTATATGTAATCAATATATGTAATCAGTTATCATACTTAAATCTCTGGTGCTCAGTCAGTTTATTAAAGCATTCTGGTCAAATAAAATATCCACCCATTCACACATATCCTTGCTGTCTCACATACTGTAACTCTCTTACACAATGCTTAGTAGTTTAAAATATAAACCATTGTAATGTAGAACATTGTGATTAAGATATTGGCTGCTATGGAATTGTGCTTGCAGTTTGCAGTTTCTACCCACATTTCTTCATGCTTGGACTCATCCAACATAATAGAAAAAAGTGTATTTCTGTTTTGCAGAACTAGACATATCTTTTCCTAGCCAGTGCAGGATTTGTGGGGAGGGAAGCTAAGTTTAAATCCAAACACCATGTAGCTTGTAGTTATTGTCTTCATCTCAGTCTACCTTACAAGGTTGTGGTGAGGGAAAATAGGCAAATCTGGGTATATGCTGCCCTGATTCAGTGGAAGAATCAGGAAAAAAGATTCAGAATACCATATTTCATATTAAAACATGTGCCATTATTTTTTATAAGCTACTAGGCTTCAAATTTGTTATGTTATCAGCAACATTCCTTACAAAAAGCAGTATGAGGTGCTAATTCCCATGTGAATGAGCACTGGAAAAGCAAGGAAAAAAAAAAAGGATAAGCCTATGAGCCTTAAACCTATAATTTCACCACACTCTTTGCAAAGTTTGGTACCCCAGTTTTGTTGTGTTTCTTATGTACACTGATAATCTTAAAAAGAAATCACTGTCTGAAGACATCCATTTCCTGTTCTTTGAAAACACTATAAAATCTCAAGTTTAAATTTATTCTAAACATGTTGTTTTGACATAACTGCATCATTATACGCTTCTCTCACACATACACATTCATACCAATTATACCAATGTTTTTCTCCAAGGGTTGCTATCATAGACTCTTTTGTTTTAAATTGATATAAGTCATTTCTAAAATCTTTTGAGAAGCTCACTCAAGAAGGAGGAGGAAATGCTTCATCTGAGTATGAAGGTGTGCACAGGATTCTTTTCTCTCCCACATCCTTGCACCCCACCCACAAGAGCTATTCTGGAGGAACACAACACCTTCTGGAAAAATATGAAATTTAGCACAAAGGGCTGCAGTTAGTAGGAAGTACCAGCAACACTTGGGTGTGACCTCTAAATAAGTATACTCTTTACTAGGACAAAAGCCAAATATGCTGCATAGAAGATGATCATGTTCTCTCCAGAAGGTTTACTGTTTTTGTTTTTAATTTGTCATTCTCTATTACTTCAAGACTTACTTTTCTCTTAGGAGAATCCAAGGTAAGCAATCCCTAAATGTTAATTTACACTTTTTCTGTGTCTATATATTAACAGTTTCATATTTTAAAACTTTTTCTGAAAGATACATTAACTATATTTAAAAAGTGCTGAAAGGCAATTGCAGATTCTAGCTCTTTTGGTAAGTACTATTGTTAATGAATTATAATATATATTTCACTTCATAGAGATTCCCAGCAGTTGTCAAACAAGCACACTAGTTTCATTCTTTGGAGATTAAAAATATCTCATGTACTTTCAGGTTCTTTCCAGTTTAGTACACTGTTTCTTTTGAAGGATTTGCTTTTCTGAGTTGAACTTTCAGGACTCAGAATACCATATCACAATTTCACAAGACTTTCTGTGCAAATGAAAAAAAAGAGAGAAAGAAGAAAATCCATCCAACAACTTGTCAAGGCTTGTGCCAGTTAAATCCAAAATCACAGGCTATTTTTTGTTTATTGGTTATGTGTTTTTCTGGCACCAGATTAATTGTTCAAATGAAGGCAGTATTTGGAAGCTGTGAGTGAATGTCTGTTGTGCTCTTAATGAGGCTAATCCCATGACAGGACATTCCAAGTAGCTAATGGGCGCAAGTTCATTGCTTACTTTAACATCTCATGGTCAAAACTGGAATGAAAAACTTGTCTGGTGGGCAGTCATGGGTCATTAGTGTTAGTAGAATGACCAACTGCAGTGAAATGTAGACAGCACAAATAGATCAGAGAGAACATTAGACAGACTTGATGTGGAGCAAAAGGTAAACATTATAATTATTATTAATTAGTAATATTAGTCTTAATAACAAATTAATATAGAAACCAATTTTGCTCAAATATTATATGTATTTAATATAACATTGTGTTTTTCTTAATTAAGGTTAAAATAATAAAGACTTAAAAATGCATGAAAACTAATTAATTCATAAAACATTGCTTATAGACTTTTGGGTGTGCAGTAAACTAGTATGGTTTATTTTCATTTCTTCATTTTTGGTGATTTAAACTAAATATCAATGTGCTATATTTCTTGCAATTTGTATTTAGCATAGTAATAAATCAGCTCAGAGAGTAGAATATTTTCTCTTTCAGTTCTATAGAAAGATATTAAGTAATAAGCTATTGGCAGTGAACATGAGACAAAACTAAATGGTGATAAACATTTTAAAGGAAGATTTGTTTATACTGTTGTAAAATGTAAGATACATTTTTTACCATCTTTAGAATTGTATTTTAAAAGTAATTTTTATAATAATAAATATATTAGTTAATGTTTCTGATTGCCCTTAATGTTTCATAGAAATTGGAGCACGTATGATAATGTAATCATGTTTTTTTCTTAATGTTATAACTATCATTCTTTTGACCTGAACACTGCCTACCACACTGTTAGTTTCATGTCTTGCCTTGCTTACAACATGCTTACAACGGAATGCATGACTACATAGATCTCGTTTGGTCTAACCAGCTAGCTTTTCTGTTGTATTCACAAAATGTTTTACATTTGATTTTTTAATTTATTTTTTCATATTCCAAAAAATGAATCCAAGTTACTTTTTAAGGATAGCTATCAAGAATTGTAACGGACAATTTCATTTTTGATAGTTTTAGATCAAAATTGTTTTGTACAATTCCATAAAGTTTCATTAGAACATTATAAAATATTTTTAAGTACTAGGCAGGTTTGATAAGAGAGCAGTTTTTGAGTGAATTTTGTACTAAGAAAATCTTTAAGTAATTATACACAAATACATAGCAGTAATTTTATTCTTTACTTTCAAGCTTCCAGTCAACCAAAGGTTAACTAAATAAGTAAGCATGATAAATAAAGCAAGAATTTTAAAGGGGTAGTATTAAAAAAGTGAATCATTAAACTGTCTTTCTCCTACTCTGTTTCTGTGTGTCTAGGAAAATAACAATACCTCAATCTAAGAAATCCACAATTTCAGTTGTTTACACAGTAATACACAAAGGGGTGCAATTTGATTAATCAAGTCACATTTAATTTTTATTAAAATCAGTGAATTTTATTTGATAATGACTGCCAAACAGTTTGCATTATTTAAATATTTGTTAACAAGAAAAAAGTGGGCTATTAAATGTTTTGCTTGATCTCTAAGAAAATATTCTGTCTAAGGGTGAAGTTTATGCATCCAACTTCATCACAGAGCATTAAAACAGTAAAAACAATGGATCCCATTTGCTCTGATCAGATCAGAATTAAAATGCATTAAAGGTGCCAGGCCCCTATGTCCAACCCCAGGCTAAAATACAAGAAGTAACAGAAAACATCCATGGGTGGGCTCTATCAAAGTTAAAAGGGAATGAGGCTAAAATTGATACAGTAACATAAGAAAGGAGCAAGTATAAAATCAATGTATATAAGTAGTGCCATGTTCACTATATGTCCAAATTTTGTAAGCAGCTGCGCAGAACATTAGCCATGATGCAGGGACTATCGCCCTCTAATAGAAACTGGGCATAGGTTGAGTCTAGTCTATCAAGGCACCCACTAATTGGGGAAGAATAAACCTAGCCCTTATATCTTTATGTAATGGGCAACAGAGGATTACCTATTCTCAGGTTGCTACCTCTTCTGTGTCACAGGGACAAAGTCTTTCATCCATTGGGAGCTTTTTATATTTGCCTTCCAGTATAACAGAGGGTAATGCTCAGACCTCACCAGCATAAAATCTTTTCTGTGGCTCAGTGTTTCTAATTACCCCAGGGAAGCCACTAAATATTTGAGCTACTCTGAGGCTAAAGTACTTGGTACTTTCCCAATATCATCCTGACATTCTACATCAAGGATTCTTTGTTTAATGGCTAGCTTAGCCTTGGCATGGCACATTGCTAGGACTTCCAGAAGAGAGAAACCCAGCAGGCTTAGCTTTAGTCTGATCACCTTAATCCAGGAAGATTGGTCAAGGAAGTTATAACAAAACTTAATTATTAGTTCAAATATGATAAATTTTTACATGTGTGAAGAATTTTAGTATATTTAAACTAATTCCATGGAAAGTCTCTGGTTGGTATTGAACCCCTGTAATTATCTGATGCTAAGAGAAATATAACACAAGGCCCTTGCTAACACTATTATCTGTTTCTTATCTGTTATATGGGGTTCAACTTCTCAGTTCCATTAAATTCACTACTTTTGTTTTGTTTTGTTCCTCCTGATTTTGGATGCTTTTAGGTACAGGATATTTTTAGTGGGTTTTTTTGTTTTTTGCTACTGTCCAACTGTTAAATATATTTTGATTATGGATATTTTTAGTTCAAAATAGTTTTTATTAGTCTATTATTTTGTAAAATTATTGTGTCATCTTATTTGGAAAGAGAATAATTAATCATAATCATAATCATAATCATTATCCTGTGATATCTTTAATATTATTAAACAACATCTGTCTATCCCAAACCCTTGGGAAGGACTCAATAGGTGGACAAAAATGCCAAATCCAGTCTAAACATCTGGCTGACTATGCGACCAAAAGATGCTTTTTTTAAAATTGGTTTATGTGAGCAAATATGCCTTATAATAACAACACTGTATATTAATACAGCTTAAATATCAATAAGGTATTTTGAGCATTTGTTAAAACAACTTTCTAATGCTTAAAAATTAATATTTTCCATTCATGGCATGAGTCTTAAAATCTAGACATCATGCTTTTCTTTTTCAGATAGGGGCTTTGTATTAAACAGAAACTAAAATTATGCATGCCTTCTATTGTTTTTGCATGTCTCATCAACATAGAGTGAGGAATGATAGCAGTTTCTATTCAAAATATACAGTGAAAACGACTTTATCTCAGATAGTTGTGTGTATATGTGTGTATTGATTTATTGCTCCTTTTCATGCTCAGTGGATTTGTTCTGACTGTGCTATGTGAACAGTCATCAGTTATGACACGTCTTACATCCACTTATCTTATCAATATCATTAATGAGAGTTATGTATTTGGTATCTTTTGATGTCCTTCTGCTACATGGGCTTCCTTACATAGCCATGATGATGGAAAAATGAGAAAATGTGTGTTGTGGCATCAAGACACAAAGCTCACCCTTTTAACGTCCCAATGATGAATAAGATACATAAGTGGCGGGGTTTGCATTGTAATGTAACAGAGCACATTAATCACATGTCTATCCTGCAGACACCTATGTTCCATTAGCATACTGGACACTGCTCGTAAATCTATTCCTTCTTTTCCCTGAAGCTTCCTCTACTGTTCCTCCAAATCTGTTCTGAAAGACTTAAGCAGTTTTGACCCATGGAAGGGAAGAAGAGAAATAAACCTCCCTTGCCTAAGCTCTTATGCCTTTTATTAAAACTGAATATAATGTCGAAAGGGGCAAATGGGAGTAGATAAAGGTAATGGTTGCCTTATGTAGCCTATTGAGTTTCCATTCTCACAACCTTTTTTCTTCCTGATTAGCTGAATATGGTACTGACAATTAACTTTAATATAGAATGCTTTAAAATTTGTAACAGAAATATGTGCCCACTCTAGATTTCTCCTTACAGGTGTAAATACAGTGCATTTGGAAAGTATTCGGACCCCCTTCATTTTTTTCAATTTTGTTATGTTGCAGCCTGATACTACAATCGTTCATTTTTTTCCTCATTAATCTTTGCTCCATTCAGCTTTCTCTCAACCCTGACCAGTCTCCCAGTCCCTCCTGCTGAAAAACACCCCCACAGCATGATGCTGCCACCACCATGCTTCACTGTTGGGATGGT